CCTTAGTGATTTTGTACTTACCTTAAGGTTTAGATTTTCCTCAGAGAACCATAAATTCTCCATACAACCAAAAGCTTCCATCTAGAAGGCACTCTGGAGCCACGTTACTCCAGGTGAAGCCCACGGATCTATGTCAGCGTCCCTTGGGAGCCTGTTAGAAATGCAGAATCCCAGGCCCCAACCCAGACCTTCAGAGTCTGCATTTTATCCAGATCTCCTGGTGATTTTAGCACTGCCATTTGAGAAGTACTAGTCAGAGACATGAGGGTATTTTCTTTTGAAAATTCATTGAGCAGTTGAATGGCTTTTTATTTTTCAGTCATTGAACTGCATTTACTGAGAGAGTATTGGGGCCCAAGCCTTGTGCCAGGTGGTGGGGATATAAAGATAAATCATGAGTGGGCTCTACTTGTAAGAAGCTTCAGTTCTAACTAGGAGACAGTGACCGTCATACATAAATGCAGTAAAGTAGTACAGGTGCTATGATAGAACTGCATAGGAGGCACAAAAACTGGCTGCTATCTACATCTCTAGGTATGTGTGTAGGTAGGTTTTATATCGTGTTTGTATGAAGAATAAAGAGAGTGATGCTTTCTTTTCCTCCCTTTCTCCCTTCCTCGTAAATGAATTCAAATTTCGTTGATGGTTTGAGTTTAATTGTTCCCATGCATTTTCCACTTCTATCACCCATAGTCAATAATTTACCTACTTGGCAGGTAAATTGCTGTTATTTTTCCCTCTGGTTGGGCCATTTATTTCATGAAATGGTAATCAAGCTCTGCATTCAGGCGGATACCTTTCCTGTCGGCATGTGCTAGGATAACTACAGTGGCTAATAGCTCATCTGGTACCAGGTAGTCACACTTGCTTCTCAGTGCCTCTGCCTTTGTGCCCCTGGGTGAGAAAGGATAGCTTGAGAAAATATGCGTAGCTGGGCTCTCTAGAGTTTTTCCTCACTTCCTTTTGGAGTTAATAATGTGCATAATAGACTGCTTTCTGAAGTAAATAGGCAGAGAGCTGTGTTTGGGAATCAGGGATATAATACTTTATTTGTCCAACTCACCCGTTAGTGCCTCATGGTGCTACCTCTGGCACAAAGCAAAAATCTTTTGAATATATTAGCTGAATCATTTGGGTTGATATGGACCAAATCAAGTGAGGTACTTCTTAGCTCCTCTCCAAGGTAAAGTGAGAATTGCTTTCTAGGTCTGTATTTCTTTAGCTGTGTAACTTCGAGTAAACCATTTTACATGGAAACTGAGACATACATGTATTTTGTGTGTAGGTATGCTTTGGCCAGTGAGGTAAGGGGGATATGGAGTGAACCAGGCTTGTAGGCAAGCATCTGTGGCCACGCTTCCCCTCTTCTAGGACAAAACTTAGATTTTGTCCTAGATTTGATATATTACTGCCAGCTACCTGATGGTGGTTTGTTTTTGTTTTTTTCTTTTTCTTATTTCTCTGTTTGATTGATTCAAAACCCCTGTAAGATAACAGGATCTGGGAGTTGAATTGGGATTTCCCCTGCAAGGCAGAGCGGACAGGGTATGCACTAACGTGGAGGTGTGCAGCCTAGCGTTGATAGTGGGAAGGTGTCTCAGCTAATTTCTCCAGGTGCTTTTCTCCAGGAGGGTCACCACATAAACGTCTAAGCTCCATGCTGTTTCATTATTTTCAAAAATCTACTGGAATAGAAACGATCTCCACCCCTCCCCCCACTCACATATATACACGTCTTGTTATTTTCCCATCTTCCTTAAACATGTAAATTCTGCCTCATGTCTAAAGCTGCACTTAGAAGCATTTTCTCTTGTTTACTTATATGTTAAAATGACGCGGTAGAAGTGAGAATTCTTATAACTTTTAGTCTGATTTAGGATAGTTGTCTTTAAGAGTTTTTGCTTCCAGCTATCCCAATGAGTTTATGCTTAACTCCAAGGGGCCCATTTTCTCTCCTTTTGTCACATTTGTATCTGTTTTCTAGATAATTATCCATTCCTCTATGTCTTTTGAAAATGTGAGCTTCTCTCTAAAGAATGTAGTAAGAAGCCTTTGATGGTTGTGCTTGAAAAACTGAAAACTTTGGTCTGACTTAGTAATTGATCTAAATAAAGCAGATAATTATTATTAATCATGAGGGCTTTTAAAAGTCTGCCTAATTTTGCCTAGAATATAGAGTCTATGTTGTTTCCAAGTTATTTCTTTCAAGAAATACGTCTCATTTTTCTTTTCTGTTGCTTTTCATGTTCCCAGGATTGCCATCAGCCCGTGTCTCGCTATGTTTAGGTTCTATTAGAGAAACAGGGTAAAAAAGGATGTAGTTGGAAAGGACAGAAAGTTGTACCTTTTATTCTAAGATTAATTAGCTGGAACATTTTGAACTGTTCGTGTGGCTTTTGTGGGCCTGTTTGATAACATGATCTCCAAGGTCTTGTTCAGTTCTGATTCTGTCTGATGTTCTGACAATTCTCTGTGACATAACAGAATCTGAGGAAGTGTAAGAGGATGCTCAGAAGTCCTCTTTTAAAGTGAGTATGAAAAAGACATAGGTCCAGACAGAATTTTAAACCCGAAAATCAGCTGTGAACTAGAGTTGGTAGTCATGTCTTCAGCAACCTAACCCCTCTTTGCCTTACCACTTAGGATCTCAGTGTGAGCATGCTTCTCATACATTGTAACTTTGAAAGCCAGAAAAGAACTTGGTGACGGTTCTCTTTACTTAACAGGTTTTAAATATTTTTTTTCTTGCAATCTGTGGCCAAATGAGATTTTTCTGGCTGTACATTAGAATCACCTGGGATTGACTGATTGATTGATTGATTGATTGATTCATTCATTCATTCTTTCATTCCACCTCCCCCCATCACCTGGATTTAAAAGGAGTTCTGGTGCCTGACCCCTCCCCCTCACTCCTTTTCTCCTGTCCGGGAGATTCTGATAGAGTTGGTGTGAGGTGGAATTTGGGCCTCAGCATTTTTAGGTAAGTTTCTTTAGTAATTCTAGTGTGTAGCCAGTGTTTGAAAGTACCGAATGGAGCTAATAAAGGTTATGAGACTTACAACCCTGGTAAGGAAACAGACAAAGTACTTCTCCCGATTTGTGTACCCAGGAAAAGAAGTAAAAATTTTCTATATGACATAAGTTATTGAACTTAACTAATCCTTTAGACCTGAAGTAGAAATAATAGGGTACATTGCTTAGCGCGGTGGTTCTCAATGTGTGATTCCAGACACAATAATATCAGAATCATCTGCAAATTCATTAGAAATGCAGATTATTGGGCATCACCATAGACCTACTGAATCAGACTCTCTGGGGTTGGGACCTAATAATCTGTATTTTAACAAGACCTTCCAGAGATTCTGATGAACTCTAGAGTTTGAGAACTACGAGCATAGAGGGTTGTTGTATGAATGAGAGGTAGTGTATGGAAATCTTAACACACCGCCTGGCATTGTGAGTGTACTCTAGAGATACTGTGCTTGACTGCTTAGTGGTCTGGATTTGGCGGGAGCTAGACTTGAGAGCACTTAGCTACTTTTCCAATTCTAAGATTGACTTACAAGGCAAATGGAGACCAACTGAACCATTTCAAAGGTGTATCAGAACATCTAAACCAATTTGCCGTCCTTCCACTGTGCCCATCCTTCAAATCTTAGACTCTTCTTTTTCTGAGACTGAAGTTGTGTTGTTTTAATACTATCCAAAAGCAACTCATTTAATGATGGAGAGAAATGATGGAGATTGCTGCCCTACCATTAAGTGCTGAATGACTGAAATGCAAGGAAAAGCTACTTATTCGTAACTAGAGAAGACCACTTCCCCAACACATCAAAAACATTATTTTTTAAAAGGAAAAGGACAAATAGAGAAAAGGTTTAAAGATGGAAATTTCTGTTTTCTCAATAGAATTTCTTGCAAAGACTATTTAAAAAGATTCCATAACATGAATCTTACAGCTGTTGGATATGTGTGTCTGTAACTCTGATCTTAGAGATGAGATACACTCTTTCAACAATCTAACTACAACGTGCTGTTCTTGTTGGTCAGAGACGTTGGAGTTTCTTGACATCCCAGAGTCTTCTCACTTCCTGCTGTGATTGTGTATAGATTTCGAAATTGGGTGTTTCTTATTCCTGTTTCTCCAAATCTGTCCTGCACATACTTTTATATTTTTTTTATTTTTTCAAATGTTTTAGACCCCCCCACACACATACTTTTAGATTAGTCTTTAGTAAATCATATTCTAACCAAGTGTTCTGTTTTCTGAAATCCTTGATGGATTCCCTACTGCATGCATGGTAAAATTCAAACCCTTTGCCAGATGTGCAACACACTTAAAACGCTTATTTTCATCACCTCTCTAATTTTTATAACTCATGAGTATTATTTTACATTCTTATGTTTTTGCTATGTTATGACTTACTCCTTATTCTCCATGGGCTGAGCTTTTTGTGTTCCCCTGTCTTTCTACCTAGAGTGAACTTGCTCTCTACATTGTAATACTTCAAGACAATTATACGGTCCAGTAAGCCTTCCCTGTACCTCCACCTGGACATAAGCTTTACTTTGTCTTAATTTCCAGAAGTTTGTACATCTTCATAAATTGCACTTTGTGTTTTCCTTACTTGTGTACACATTTTTCCTCTTCTATTTGATTGAAAATGTATTGAGGGTAAGCACCAAGTCTTGTATTAATGTAATTTAGTAACCCCATCCCCCAACCCAAGTTCATCCCCTGCTCTTCCTTAATGTATTCGACCCCTCTAGACTAGCTTTTATGCCACTTTTAAATATCAAATATGATGCTCTTTCTTCTGAAAGTTAAGGCTACTAATTAAACTGGGGAGAACTAAGATAGGGAATAATTGCTATACCAGGCAAAAAATTACATGTCAAAGCCAATTACAAAGGACTAAAATGCCAGCAAATACATCTTTTTTAAGAGTACTGTAAAATTGCATCCCTGTTAACTTAATGTGTGTGTTTCCTTTCTGCAGGTGATTTTCTTCCACCCCCACCTCCACCTCTAGATGATACCAGTGCCCTCCCATCTGGCTCTGGAAATTTCCCTCCTCCACCACCCCTTGATGAAGGTGCTTTCAAAGTGCAGGTAAGAGCTACAGTTGAAGTCATGTTTATAAGCCATGCCAGGAAGCTCACGAATTTAGTGATTGTTTCTGTGGTGGATAAACATTTATCCAGAGCCTGTAGAGAGCTTTACGACTTACAAAGAGCTAAGGTACTTTAATGCAAAATGCCCAACTCAAGCTTCTCAGAGTTCTGCTGGCTTAACCCTCTGAAGCCCTGGAAATCTTTTTACCTACTAATTTTGTGTCAAAACCCCAAGCCCTTTTTTTTTATTTTAGCATGTTATGGGGGTACATATGTTTAGGTTACATATATTGCCTTTGCCCCACCTGAGTCAGAGCTTCAAATGTGTCCATCCCCCAGACGTTGCACACCGCACCCATTAGGTATGACTATATCCATCCCCTCCTCCCCCCTCCCACCTGCCCAATACCTGATGAATGTTATTACTACATGTGCACATAAGTGTTGATCAGTTAATACCAATTTGATGGTGAGTACATGTGGTGCTTGTTTTTCCATTCTTGTGATACTTAACTTAGTAGAATGGGCTCCAGCTCTATCCAGGATAATACAAGAGGTGCTAGATCACCATTGTTTTTTGTGGCTGAGTAGAACTCCATGGTATACTTATACCACATTTTATTAGGAAGGACATTTAAGAAGTCAACATTTTTTTGTTATCCTGGGTAACACAACCATGCCTTCTTATTGCCTTTGTTCTCTCTCTACAAACATTGCATTTGAAATGAGTAAGGCTGACATTTTAAGGCTCTGGTTGGTCACTGCAGGTCCTGTTGGTCAGCAACATGTTCCTAGCAAAAGCAATATCAAAAATTCTTACGGTTTTCTATTCTGGGTAACTTCAAGGATGTATATTATAGATATGTACCAATTAAATAAAACTTTTGTGTTCCAGAAATTGGTGATTGTAAGGTAACTCAGGGCTGGAGTCAGAGGTGACATTAGAAGTAGTTCTCAGACTGTGTAATCATCAGGTGACTGGTGACCAACAGCCACATTTCAGGCTGAAGAACTCATTCATGTCGGGAAGAAAAACTAATAAAATCATGGGATTATGGTTATAGTTTTAGGTGTGATTATGTTAATATAGACATAGAAAAAAAGAGCCTTTTTTTTCTTTTAGAGAAACAAAAGTATTCGTGGGTAAAATGGAATGATGTCTAGTATTTGTTTCAAAATAATGAGACTAAAAAACTACTGAGTGAGAATGTAGGTGAAAAAAGGTTAGTTACGAGTTAGTAACTGTTGGGTGCATGGAGGTTTATCCTAATATTCTGTCTACCTTTGTATATGTTTAAAATTTCTCATAAAAGTAAGTATAAAAGAGGAAAAAGCCATAGGGAATATCTGCTTAAATAATTCAATCTATTGTCTGACTTTCTTTCTCCTAAATTTTGTGTTGGAGGAGATAAAGGAAGAAGTGATTCATTCATTCAACAAATATTCTATGTCTGTGTGTGGGCATTATTCAAGCACTAGGAATTTTATAGCAAAAAGACAGACTCGGTTCTGCTCTCATGGAATGTACGAGTTTATGGAACTAGTGGAAGTAAACAAAATATTAGCATATACATTACCAGGGCATTAGAATGGATGAGTGCTATGGCTGACTAAACAGGGAAGGGGATATGGCTTACGTAGGGTGGACAGAGTCACTGATGCCTCACTGAGAAGGTGACACTTAAAGACTTGAAGGAGGAGAGGCAGGAATGGCCACATGATCTTCTTGGGGAATATATTTCCATATAGTAGATGCTAAGAAAGAGAAGAAGCTTTTCATATTATCGATCAGCTGAAATTATAATAGTAAGTTCAAGTTTTAACCACTAAGTTCAAACTCAGTTTGGAGTCTAGATGTTTTAAGGGCTATTAATCTTTTTTTTTTTATTTAATCTTTCATATATGTCACAAATTTCCTGCATTTTATTTTGCTGTAAGCTAATAAAATCAAAGTTCAGGGGCCAACAATGAACAAGAATACTACAATGTTTATTTTATGCAACAGAATCCTTAACAAATAAAAATAATGTGATTTCCATTATTTTTAGTTATTTTTAATAAAATTAAAAAAAAAAACCCTTAGTGTTTTGTTTTTATATACCTTTGCTCTTATTTTGTTGAGATTGGTTTTTTTGTATATTGTTTAATATGCACAACGAAAAATTTCACTCTATTTTCTCTCTTGGATTATTGTGGAACTATTTTGTTGCATTTTAAATCTTTAATTCTCAAAAGGTTGCTTGAACTAGTTACAGAAGACTTGTGTTTGAAAAGTAGTTATGCAGCTTTTTGTAGTTACGCTATCTTGAGTGGACCACACTGTCGAGCTCCACTTTCCTCATAATTAAAAACCAGGTGAACATACCTACCTCTTATAGTTAAATGAAAGACAGATGGATTTGAAAGTGTAAACCGAAATGGCTGCATGGATATTTTGATGTTGTGGCATTACTATGTAAGAGCAATAATAAGTCTTTGCCAATGGGTTCCATTAAAAAAATCAAATACAGGGCTTTCATAAAATTATAAAAAGTCTTTCTCTGTATGGACCTTATTCTGGTAAATGTACTCAAGCACGGCTTTGTTTTTGAAGAGGGAGGAAATAAACAAAAAGCCTGTTGCCATGTTGGCTAATGTTCCCTGTAAAACAGAAGGGAGGAGGATAAAAAATAAAAGTTAGCCAAATGGAGAGGGACGGATCTGGTAGCGAGCGGCATGTTATTTTTGAGACTCTTCATATGGAAGATTGTTGATGAGTTCTAAGGAAATGGACATGCCCTTCTCTTGTGTGGTGGGGACTTGCAAGTGATAGCGGCTCGGCCCTACTCTGGCATATTTGTACCTCCTTTCTATACGGGCTTAATGTAGCCTAGAGTAGTATGATCACTGCAGAAAATTTTGCTCTTTTTCCTCTCAGCCATGGTGAAACCTTATGTTGCCAAGTCCAAATTATAGCTGGTAAATGTGTGTTTTTATGTAGAAGTCTGTTTATGTTCCCAGCCAAATTTTCAGGTCAGAGCCAAAAGAATGTCTACTAAATGTGACTATAAGAATTGTAAGATTTTCAGAGCTGAGAGGGACCTAGGAGATCATTTAGTCCTACCCTGGAGCCAGGCATCTAGTTGCAGCCCTTTTGAGTATGTGCTGAATGAATTAATTCCCTTTTATTGGAAATGGGGAAACTGAGACCCAGGGAGTTGTAGATTCTGTAGTTTTGAGAGAACGCTTACCGCATTTGACAAGTCTTAACTCCTGGACTTGACCTTCTTCCCACTGTTGCAGATGGCCTGTGCCCTTGATTTTACTTTAGTCCTCTACTGGACTGTAAGGCTCTGAGATTCAGAGTAGGGGTTACATGTTTTATGTGGAAGGACCAGGTGCTGCTGGAGCTTTGCTTGGCTCTCTAAATTTTGATATATGCTGTAAACCTTTTTGTCTTTACGAAGGCAAATAAATATTTGATGTCAAGGATTCTTGTTTTGACAATTCTCACTTTTATGGGAAAAGGTGAATCTTGGAAAACAAAGGAAAGATTTGGTTTACTTCTCTATCAGGATCAATTTGACCTCAGTGCCTGTGACATTTGGAGTAACCCTGTAGCAACCACTTTATTCATTCATTTGTTCTTCACTCACTGCATGTAAATTGAATACCTGCTATTAGTAGACACCTATGTTAGGGATTATAGCCTTACAACTTGGCATCATTGGTCTAGTGTTCTGAGTTTCAACCTTGGGACTGTCAGCTTTGTTCTGATCTGATGCCACGGCTGGCGTTTTCTTTCTCTTTTCAGCCAGCTCATGGACAGGTATATAATATTGCTTATTGTAGTTACAAGGAGGGAAAATGTCTCTTAGAATTTCAGGTTTACAAGTGAATTAGAGATTATATATCCAAGTCCCTTTCTGTCGTTTGAATCTTGTAATTTTTTTTTCAATTTAACAAAATGTTTATAGGTAACTGTTATACGTGAGGCAATGTCGAAGGATAAAAAAATGGATCAGATACAGTACTTAGAATCAAGTTTGGGAAATGCATGTAAACACAGTCTTTAAATTAAGGTGTTTTATGATAAATTATGCTGTAGTCACCATGCTTTGATCAGAAGCACAAAGTCCTGTGTTAGTGGTGGAGGGTGAGGGACATAAATGAACTCTGATTGGGGGATGCATGAAGTATTCTTGGAAACAATTTCAACTGAACTGAACTTTGATGGCTGAGTAGGTCCTTAATTTTCAAATAGGGGAATGGATTTTTCAGCAACAAAGTAAAGAGAATAAAATCATACAGGAGAGAAAGCACAAACTAAGTGTGATAGACATTGAATTTCTAGCTGTGGAATTTACCCTTTATTCTGAAACCATTGACAATTTGTTGCAGATGTTTTTATTATTTTAAATGTAAGAGTGACACCCCTAGATAGGTTGTTGGATGCCAAGTAGTACTGTTAATGTACTATAAGGCAAAATATGTTGCACTTGCAGGAAACCCCATGCAAACAATTCTGAGTTGTCTGGTAAACTTCCTTGAGATCCTTGAGGACGTACCTGCTGGTATCTGATGGCTTTGAGTTTATGTACTCAATGTTTAACTTCCTCTTTCTACAACATCTTTGCTTGACTTTTCTCCATGACCTCCAGTTGACAACTCTAACTACACTTCTGTCACTGTGGCCCAGCCCTGTAGCTTGCTTTTAGTTGCCTACTATCCAGTGGTTGCTTACTGCTGGTGTTCTTCTCTCCTTTCTGTTCATTCAGGGAGCATGGCTGTGTGTGCTAGTGTAACCCCGGGCCCTTCATCTCAACAAACAGACTCATTTTGTCCATTGCTGATTATTCCAAATGTTAAAAGTTTCTTTCTCTTATTGAACATTAATTTTTTTCCTTTATGATTTTCTCACACTGATTTCCTTCCTACCCTCTTAAAAAATGATACCAAGTCAGAGGAATGGTCAGTTCAGGAGAGAGATAGGTGCCCTCTGCTTCGAGGAGTTAATCA